GATCCTTCTAGAAACTCATCACGTGTTACCAGCGTCACGTGACTTCCGCTGTCGTAACAGTATGATGGTGTCATTTCTCTCCTCTAGTAACGCATTTTGGAACTACTCGATCCTAGCATCACATTTTGGAGCTATCAGCTCTTTATCGCTACGTGACCTCCAAATCACAAATGATACTTACCCCTAATCGTCTTTCCATGAGGCGGCTCCTTTTGGCGCAGTATAGATGGCATAACCACTGCGACTTTATATCGGCTGTGTTTGTCACGCGACTTGCAATTCAAAATGGTTTTAATATAACCCGCTCAACTATCTTAATACAACCCACTAACATTTATGTGAGAAAATATCCACTTCTATAGAGGACACTAAAGTTGATCATATTTTTAAAATTTCTAAAATTTGAATATTTATTAGGAATAGAAACATCTTTTACAATCGCAACATGTTAACGTTAATTATTATTTTTTAAGTTATTTAATTTGAGTCAAGAGATTCACTATTGATATTTTTATGGCATTTCGGCAGACATTACCAATACAGGAGCCAATCCTTCTTTACTATACCCTTGAGTATTAGTAATGTAATTTGGTCTACTGAACTGTGTGTGGCAGTCATTGCCACTTGCGTTACTATATTTTACGACTATCACAGTAACTCTGTTCTATATTTTAATACAAAACTAAATACAGCTGTTTACGATTTTAGTTACTGTAATTTATATACGAAACATATAAAGATGATTTCTGTTATTTACATAATTTCCCCTTCAACGTACACACTCAAAAACACGTAAAATTTACAATAATTTTAATGAAATAGCAACACTTCTCGACGTCTACTCATCATCCTTTGTCTAATATCAACAACACTAAGCTAGGGCTTTGGAGTCCTTTGATAATATCCCCCCTAAACCACTAACTCTTGGTTACGCTAGTAACTCCAACGGAACTTTCTTATATAATAGCAACCATAACAAAAGTAAACAGTTTATATTTTGACACACGTTATCACGGGAGTCGGTGAAAATAAACATAAAAATACAAATTAAAAATTCACATTGAGGTTTAAACAAAATCACATTCATAGTACAAGTTGCTTCCAAGCATACTGTAGCTAGTCTTATAAATATTATATTTGATTATAAAATGTTCTACCTACAAGATAGTAGCGCAAATCGTAAGTTACAAAATAAATTTATTTGAAATACAAAATTTGAGTTATATGATAAATTAATCGAAACTTACAATCGTTAAAATATCCACTTCTTTCTATTTCTGCAAAACATACTTTTGTGTTCGTTAGAATTTGTTGAAGCTGTCGACAATACCTTCGAAATTTACTGAACTCATAATACAAATTACCAGCCATAGTATCAAAACAATCATATCATCTCGAGCAATGTGCTCTCGCGACTTTATATAATTTTTTATAGAGGACTGACTAATTGACGTCATTTCCGTGCACCATCCACACACAATACACTTTGCTTCCATCAAATAATTAAGTACAAAATATTTTTTTTATTTCACTTGTTTCAAGCACAGTTTACTCAACAAAGATGCTGCATATTTAATAAACATACATATATATATATATATATATATATTGAGAACTCCACAGATTCATATATACAAAACTATATAAACAACTTCGTGATGACGTGTTTGATAGTGCTGCCATCTACACTATATGAAACGAGTCGTTTTAATATTTCGTCTTTTGAACAATCCAATGTAATTTAGTAGCCAATACCAAGAGTGAAATTCTGCCAATTCTCACCGGTACTGAGTACCGGAACTTATTTTGTAAGGCGGTACTAAAACCGGGACTTATTTGAGCTGCTTTGTCGTTTTTCTATGTTTACACGTAGATTTTTTTCTTTTTAAAAAACAGGTCCACTTCACCCAGCTGAGTACCTCTTTTTTTTCTTTTTTTTTTTGAGAAAATCATCCCTGGCCAGTACGATCACCAATTCTAATTATTAAATAAATAACAATTACTTTTTTAATAAATAGATACTAATTGATATAAGCTATATATATTAATTATACAAGCAGGAAGGATAAGCTCACGCGACACAATGATCAGCTTGGACGAATAGAACCTTTTCACTGGTGTACCAACTCCTGCTACATTAACAATACACAACCAATAGGTTGTGTTGTATTCTCAGGTTAAACTAATTTCCGCAAAATGTATTTGGTGGGTCCGCTTCTTTATCACGGAAGGATCGGCAGAATAAGTCATGAAGTGATACTGAATCCAAGTTAATAAACTAATCTAAGAAATAAAGAGACTGGCCACAATGTCCACACAAAATGAGAACAATCTCTATTTATTTCAAAGACACAAAACAAAGTGTGTGTACTTGCGTTGGACACTGAATTCGTGAATTGATTAACAGATGTCTTCCCATCATTCAACTTAATTTTCCATGTAATCCTCAGGGTGTCTTTGACTTTGGCTAAGACCCCCCCCCCCTTTGTGTCCACCAGCTCAGCCAGCAAGTACACACACATATATATTAGGTCGTCGAGAAATTAATGCCGCTTTTTTTAGATGAAAAAACCCAAACAACTTGTATGTCAAAACAAATCATTTATCAAATGAAATTGTCTCCATTCTTATCGATCTTTCCATCTTACAATCAGGTTGTTAATGTCCTGATTAAAGAAATCACTTGGCTTTGAAGTAAAATACCTGTCGATGTCCTCTTTAACACCTTCCACACTTGCATACGATTTCCCATCAAGATGGTGTTGCAGCGAACGAAAACGATGATAATCTGATGGTGCCCTATCTGGAGAATATGGTGGGTGGGGGCAAACTTCCTAACCCAACTCCATAACCTTGTGTTGCGTAAAACTTGCCACACGTGGACGTGCATTGTCGTAGAAAAGAAGAACACCTTTCCGATTGACGAGTGAAGTACGTTTCGGAAGAAGGGCTTGATTTAAACGTTCCAGTTGCTGATTATAGATCTCTGCATTGACAGTTCGCTGTGGATTGAGGAGTTCAAAATGAATTAATCCTCTGATGTCCCACCAAATGCAAAGCATCACTTCCTGCAGATGGAGTCCAGGTTTTGGGATCGGAAGTGGTTTTTTGTCTATGACTGAGCTATTGTTTTTGGCGTTTAATATTCGCATAGAGAATTTATTTTTCATCACTGGTGACAATTCTGTCCAAAAATGGTTCACACGCATTACGCACCAGAAGAGACAAAGCAACGTTCACACGTTGGAAACGATAATCATTGGCACCTAAACACCTTCTTTATGGAGTTTTTCCATATTCCTTAGATATTTATGTATTGTTTCATGAGAGACATGCAATTTCAGGGCCATTTCACAAGTGTGTTGCCTTGGGTTAGACTCAATAAGCGTCTTCAGAGCATCAATATTAATTCCAACATGTCGGCCCCTGCCATCACAGTTTTTAAGGCTAAAGTCACCTGAGTATCAATATGCTTGCTATTTGTTTTACAATTCTATTATTCACTTAAAATGTTATCTATTATTGTTTGTATCTTCATAAACATTAGTTTTTTGATGTATTGTCTGTACTGTCCTGCTAGCCGACTATACAGCTAAACAGTAACATGTGTCGTAGTAATTTATTACTGATGTCAAGACGGTATTAAAATCTTTAGTAGTACATGAAACAAATCACTGTCCCCGATGGATCTGCTGTAAATTTGTGGACTTACGACGCTAAATTTTGGGGTTCGATTCCCTGCGGCGGACAGAGCACAAATAACCTATTATGTAACTTTGCGCTAAAACAAATAAACAAAACTTGAAGATAGCTTTTATAT